TAACTAATGAATTTGTTAAACACATATCGTTCCCTGGGGGAGTGTAAGGGTACCTGCAGGGTATAATGACAACAGTTATACCGATTCATTACATATAAGCAGACACACACACACACACAGACTTTTGTCAAGTAATGATATGTGTAAGTGTGTATTGAAGTGTGTATTACTTTTAGGCCAATAGTGTGCAATCTATTGAAGTGTGTATTACTTTTAGGCCAATAGTATGCAATCTATTGAAGTGTGTATTACTTTTAGGCCAATAGTGTGCAATCTATTGAAGAGTGTATTACTTTTAGGCCAATAGTGTGCAATCTATTGAAGTGTGTATTACTTCCACATGATGTGGCATAGTAGTCTCCTTGAACATCAAAATCTATTATAATGACACTCAGTTTTTGTCTGTCATGAAAATGCGTACTCACCTTACTATGCCCATACGCGCGTACATCATTTCAACGGATGTAAACAAAAGGCGAACGTAAATATACTTTAGTAGATATTTTGAACAACAACATATGAAAAGCTTATCGAACTTCTTAAAAAAGGTCTAACGTTAGGTCGTATAATAACATTATCAGTTTATTTATTGATGGTATTAAGAATGGTAAAGTTTAGCCCTAACTAAACTGAAGCAAAGAACGTACACAAGCTACAATGTCAATTTATCTCTTTATTGAATATTAGCCTTACTTAATAAGAGCTTAACTTATGTTAGTCCTAAGACAAGTGGACTTGTAGATTTTGTTGCAATAAAGATACGAATTTGACCGTTAATGTTTTGTTGGTTTCTGCTAGTTGAAGAATATTTACACGGTGTTTTTTCAGCGTTTATCTAAATATCAAGAATTGTCCTTTTACAAAAGTAAAAAAAAAGATTATGCTACTTCCTGCTTCTCGACGAGTTACGCCAAGGTGATACTGACAACCAATCCCATAAGAGCTCACGAGAACTCTACACATAATAATAATAGAAGAATCACATAAAATTAAAACCTCATTGACAGAACGGACCAATGTTTGATAGGATTAAATACTTCTTTTTTTTTCGTAAGCCAACTTTTCTAATATAATATAATATCTTACTCGCAAAGTTGATGACAAATTAGTTATTTCAGATTTTATGACTCATTTATGAAGAATTAAGATCTATAGTTGGCAATCAGATACTTTAGTTTTCTGTTTTGTAAGCATTTGATTCTTATTTTAATCATCTAAATTATGTTTGGTCCTATTCTTCCGATTTAGACAAAATAATGAAACGTTTCCGTTGTTTTACACGTGTTTCATTTATCCTTGGCCAAAAGATGGCATTCTAATTAATGTATCGGATTTAAGTTCCAAAGATTTCAGATTCGAGACATTGTAGTGCTAAACATGCTTCTACTCTCTGCTGTGGGTGCGTTATATGATTGACAGTCAATCCTGCGTTTCGATATAGAGTATCCGCTTGAGTTGGTGGTTGCTGCCGATTTCTTGATTTGAGCTGTATTATTGTTGTGATCAGAGCTCTGAAATTATAGATAACGTATTTCGAAGTTTGTTTCTTGAAGGGAAGAAGTGGAATGAGCATTGTACATGTGACAATTCTACTTCGGTACTTGGTAATAATACTAAGCCTAATCTCGGCCGTTACCCCAAGAACTCCGCTATTGATGATTTAGGGAAAAGTGAACATAGAAGCTTTTCATAGTTTGCATGTTACTCATAATTAAGACTACTTATAATTAACTGTAATTATTACTGTAGAGTTTTAGTAGATTCTTTCGTAGAAATTATCTGTTTAAAAATATATGTTATGTATTTTTAAAACAACTAGAATATTATCATTCACAAAAACCGAGTTTCATACAAAACTATACCAGTATTGTTCGTAAGAATGTGATGCATTGCACGAGCTGTCTTATCTGGTTTTGAAAATAAGAATAATCTTAAATATCTGTCATCTAAAAGTAGCGTCTTGGTAAAGCTTTACGTAAGAAATGAAGAGATTTCTAATTCGAACACGATATGTTTTAACGAGCAATAAAACAACATTTAAACATGTTTTGTTACCAGGCTATAAAACAACATTTAAGCATGTTTTTTACCAGGCTATAAAACAACATCGTAGTGGCATATGTAGAAAAAAACTAATTTATTTTACGCAACATTTCTCTGTGGTTTCACCTCGATTTTTAGAGATCCAAAAATGAATTTATTTTACAAAATCCAAATGACCAAAGGGGTGTGATACACGACAAACAAGTGTTCGGAATAGTTTTAGGCTTCCTGCTATATGGACCAGCAGGATCCACAAATGACATCATCATGATTAAATGTTGTTTTATAGCCTGGTAAAAAACATGCTTAAATGTTCATGTTTTTTACCAGGCTATAAAACAACATTCAAGCATGTTTTTTACCAGGCTATAAAACAACACTTAAACATGTTTTTGTTACCAGGCTATAAAACAACATTTGAACATGTTTTAACGTGCAATAAAACAACATTTAAACATGTTTTTTACCATGCTATAAAACGTCATTTAAGCATGTTTTTTACCAGGCTATAAAACAACATTTAAATATGTTTTAACGAGCAATAAAACAACATTTAAACATGTTTTGTTACCAGGCTATAAAACCTTGAATGTTGTTTTATAGCCTGGTAACACAAATGATTGAATGTTGTTTTATAGCCCGGTGACAAAAACATGTTTAAATGTTGTTTTATAGCCTGGTAAAAAACATGCTTAAATGTTGTTTTATAGCCCGGTAAAAAACACGTTTAATACCTATATGGTTTTACACTTATAAATATTTTAATAAAATCACATTTCATACTTACCCGTTCCGATGAATATTTATAACTAATATTTGATCTCCGTTAACAGCTTTGTTTGACAGTCCTTATTTTCTACATTCCTTTTA